TGGATGGGGATTGAAGAGGAGAGGGGGGGCGGATACAGGTTGTGATTGGTCGGGGGTGTTCTGAGACAGAACTTGAGGGGGGCCAAGACAAGAAGGGACTGGGCCTGACAATGAGGGTCCAAAGCGTTGTGAGAACTCCTTTGGGATGGATGGCAGTCCTGCGAGGGGGAAATAGCAGTTATGATATTTCAGGTATGTATGAATTTATTACAACTGTTACGGGTGGTTTGAAAGACCTGCCCCTCTAATGTACTACTCTAGAATTCTGACAACAAATTTATTTTATTGTTGTGGAAAAAACTGTTGATGGAGAAAACTATATGTAGCAGTCTCTTATCAAACCTAGATCAACGTGGAATCAGCTGAGACTTAGTGGAATTTTTAGTGGAAAGAATTTGGTGTGGTTTACAGAAGTCTGGAATCAGATAATGGAAAGAGTTGAAAAGCTGGGAGATATTTTTGTATGTTTTTATATGTTTATATGAGTGAAGTAAAGTAAATGTTGATATGAAAAAGACTGAGAGAAGACTGATGATAAAATATGAACTATTCAAAGTGTCTTTGCCCTCCTCCTTGACCTTCAGTTAAGAGAACAAATGGGTTAAGATCACTTTGACGTGTTAAGAGCACAAGGGGTGATACTTGCTACTTGACTTCTTCTATGCTTCCTGAGGTATGAAAGATGTTGATGGGCCACCTGATTGAGATCACACTGTTGGATTTTAACTTAAGTTGACTTGAAGACTCTGAGTGGGATGTGTGTAGCTGGTAGATGTGCCAGATTGGCATGAGGAACTGATCTGAGGAGGGAGAAATGACCTCCTTATATAGTAAATTGTGAGGGATTTTAGCTAGTGAGGACGTCCTGTGAGGGATTTATGCTGGTGTGACGTCTTCTTTGAGGGATTTTAGCTGCTTGGAAACTTCTATTGAGCCATTTTTGCTGGTGTGTCATGTGATCTGCACTGCCCCATACAGAAAATCACACGTGTTGCGGAATGTTCTTTCTATGTTGAGGCATTTTTGCTGGTCTGTTGTGAAAATACGTGTGATCCAAGCGTGTGGCTGGTGATGTCATGTGAAAATACGTGTGATCCAAGCATGTGACTAAACATGGGATCATACATATGCCTGTACAAACCAAGATTGCAACTATGCACTTATATATAAATCTATACTATGTACTACCCAAGACAACTATACTATACTGTAGTAAAAACTGATTTATCAAATAACTTTTGACTGAGTGGAGCTAGCCTAGTGGTTCCAGTGAGTGAATATGGGTTAAATGACCTGTAGAATCTATTTAAGTAATAATAACACCAAGAATCTAGCCTATAATCAAGAGTGGATCATGACTTTATGCAATTTGGTACTTGAAACACATTTGGCACACTACAGCGTCCACGAGCAACGACAAGCGCAATCTGGCAAATGGGGCATTGGGGGGAGGGGACTTACCTCCCAAGGATTCCCTCTCCCCGGTTTCTTCCGGGCCGTGGTGGGTGTAGGTTGTTTGGATGGGGAGTATCTGCAACGGATACCCTGCGACTATCTCTACTCACAGCCCAGGACATCAATGCTTGCTGGCCTAGGAAATTCTGCTGCTGCCCAAGGCAGCCACAGCTCATCCAACCCACTCAACATGTGGCTTGCTGATGGACTTATCCTCAAAGATGGAAATCTGGTGAATCCTTTGCAGTGATGGATGAAACAGAAGCAATCAGTAAACACACATGGGGGCCAGGTACACATGGCACTAGAGCTGTCCTGGTGAGTTACTCAAGTAGAACTCAATACCACTAATATATTTTCTTGCCTGAACTGATCCAGAACTCATCTCAAATTTCTAGCTACATCTATTGATGTTGAGCAAGCTTTCAGTTTTAGATGCAACTACATGGCATTGGAGAGGCACAGGCTTGCTCATAAATGTTAAAGAAGGGGTATGACTGTTGCTTTCTATTTCAAGAAGAACATTATTCAAGAGGGTGTTTTGGCTTGTTGGAACCACAGAATCAAAGAAGATAATAAGATTCAGAAGAAAGGTAAGAGAAAATTTATAGTGCTTTACAAAGATTGAATTCCCAGATTATGTGGTTGTCATTGGAATTTGAGATACTGATATTTAGTAATGAATGATAAGAAAAAAATCATTAAACTGAATTCTTGGCACTAAGTACCTACAGTACACGCCCATAGTACCACCAGTACCCACCATATGGTGGCAGGTGTGGTACCTGTTGCTGTTTTTTGGCTAAAAAATCAACTGGTACCCGGGTCCCATGAGGCCATCTTTATTTGACATTAATGCTCACTTTTGGTAATGATTTTTATTTGTGTGGAATACTTCATCTTTTAAACTTCTAAGTCGTGTTCTTGCTTGAAAGATATTATCCTTGATTTTGCTTTTTGTGGAAGTGGTATGAACTGTCATTTTGGGGTCAGTTACAAATTGCACTGGTTGTAACCATGAATTCAATATCTTTTGTGAGTCAGGGTTTTTTCCAACATTCAGAAAAAAATCCATCCAATCTTGTTGCATTCCATCAATTGATTTCAATTCTTCCAATAATTTCATAGAATTAGCTTCTAGTGTCTTGTACTCTTTTCCAGCTTTCAGTTTTTTGGATAAGTCTTTAATCCAGTGTAAATCCTTGATACGTATATTCAGATCTCTTGAATCAAACCACCAGCTATTTGAATAGGCTCTGTGTTGAGCTCTTTGAATTTGAAGAAAATTTTTGATAAAGTCATGCCGGACCAGGGTATATTTAAAATCCCTTTTGAATAGTTCATTGTGTAGGTTGGGATTGTAGTTGAAAATGAAATTTTGAATCCAGAAGTTTGACAAAACCTCTTCCACACTGTTATTTGTTGATTTGTGTTGCAAATCTAGCAGATAACCCAACACATCCTCCAAATCATCTTGCTTAGAATCTATAAATTTTGAATAGAAACGATCATCAAGGAATGTTGCCCATTTAATTGAGGAAATTTCATCCTGTTTTATTTCCCTGGGTGCCATTTTTTCAAAAAGTTTTTGCATTGATCTGAAAAGAATCTTTCCCTCAGTGGGCTTGTCAACCACTGGGATAAAAAAAATAAACACATTGATTGTGAGTGCAAGTCATCTGTTGATCATTCACATAGAAAGATCTCAGCTCACTTTCTAGCCACCAATGTTGGGTTAAAGTTTGACTGTTGCTTTTTAAGAAATCCATATCAGGTATGAAGTTTTCAAACCTGGAGAAGTTAGGATATTGTTCTCCATAAATGTGAACAAAGTATTCCCCAACCGATTTGATTATTCCTGGGGCCTCCCAGAAAAAACCTTTCACTTCGGTCTGTGCAATCAAACCATGATCGTGAAGGACTTGTAGTGCATAAAGTGAATCCCTGACCAAATGGAAATCTAAATCTGGAAAAGTTTCTCCGCCACGTTCCGAGTTGAGAATTCTCTTCAAAGTTGCAAGACAAGCTGTTCCTTGATTTTTCCTAGCTATAATATCAAACTCCGCAGTGGTTTCTCCAATGTCTCTTACCACCAGTGTCATGAGATCTCTTCCATAGAATGCTATTAAGCTCTCAACTGCTGATTTCATCAGACTACCAGCCGTGCTTTGTACTCCTTCGAGTCTTTCCAAGCGAATTGTTGTTAAACATTGTGTAATCAATCCAATTATGGAAAGGTTGAACATCTTATCTTGATCAAAATTCCCTAGGTCAAAAATGTATTAGCTTGTCTTCTTTTGTATTATTTATCTGTGAGGTTGGAGTTAAAAAACTGCTAGCTTACGATTATGAATGAAGTTATCATATCCACCTGTGTAGGAATATGGAGGAGAAGGATCATTCAATGTGTAGGTGACAGACTGAGGCGAGTTCAGAAAACTCACCATATTTTGACAAGATACCATTTCCTCCATTGAGCTCGAATGCAGGTAGGTTGTTGTAATGCATTAATCCTTCATTTCGATGGTAGTTTGATGTGATCAATCTAAATGTTAGCCCTTTGAACTGCCTTTCTATGCTCCATGAATGTAGATCAAAAACTAACCTCTTGCACTTGCAGCGGAAGACCCAACATCATGCTCATAGTGTCCAATATCCTGTCCATAGTAACGCCCTGGTTCTGTTAAATTTTTGTGATAGATGACACTGGAGTGAGTAGTGAGTTAGCCATTCATTTGGGTGGAGTAAGCTCACCAATCCAATTGGAATCAATTATCCCTCCCCAGTGTTGCATTCTTTTCTCCAATCTTTTGCCATAGAGGGACAATTGGAGGAGTACCGCTAGGTAGATACATCTGCGAAAATTGTACGGCATATCTGGATAGTACTACTGATGGTAAGCTTTGCTATATGGATAAGGCGGTAACTTGTCTGATCAATAAGTTATCAAGCCAACATAGAGACAGAGTGAAGATTCAAAAGATATGATTTTTGACAATGACCAGAGGATTTCTAGAAAATCAGCAGAATACTGGGGGATTAAATAGCCGAGAGAAGTCCCTGCTTAACTCAACTGATGGTGAACATGCTTGGCCCTTCCAATCGATGGAGAGGCCATCCGAAACACCATCCCCGCTTGAACGTTTCTTCCAGAGATGTATGGGATGTCTTGAAAAGGCACAGTCTTGCATACACTGCCACATTGTCAACTTATATTGCTCAGCCGACCAAGGTGTTGGATGGGAACCCTCCCAAGACGATTTCGCCATTGCCCCGTCGATGTTCTAAGTCTCTTACTGCTCCTCGGCGGATGTCATTGAGACATTGATGTAAGTTTGGCCAAAGTCGACTTATAGACTCTTCCATCACCAGACCGGATAAGATCAGAAAAACAAGGAATGACACTCATATTCATAATGAATACAACAACAAGCCGACGATGTTCAATTTTATCTAATCATCCCCGGCCTTGCTCTGAAACTGTTTCTTGGCAAACGTATGTAATCTCGAATCGGGGACCAAATCTGTTTCTCTTTCCCTTGTTTCTCTTAACTGAGTACATAAAAAGTTACAGAACTTTGAGGTGTTACAGAGAGGCGGAGGCACCAGATGCCCACATATTTAAAATCGAGGGTGGCCTGTCCTGCGCAATCTTTGCTTGTCTGGACGTTCCTCGAACAGATGTATGTTGGATGGCTCTCAAAATATCCGATATTGATGGAGTGCACTGCCATCACAGTCGAATTGCCAGCTACCGATGGCGGTGCAAGTAATGCCCGGACGAAGCACACTATTCCAAGTCGTCTTAACGTTTCTCAAAGAGATGTATGCGGTCTCAGAAACTATACCATCGCTCAAGCACACTAGGCACCGCAATGAGACTGGTAAATACCTTCATTCAAAATCAGTGCGTATTGTCCCGGTGGCAGTGTTCAGTCTGGCTGTCTTGATCCTGGGCTCTGCATGCCTAATCTTGACAAACAATTTTTGGGAATCACAGTCATAGGGTGATAATGTCAAGGATTAATTGGGAAATGTTTCTGCTACTGTCACAGCTTTGGGCCCATAGGACCAAGCAAGGATTTTTACAGCTGCAGACAGTGTGATCATTTGGAATACTCAATCAGCTATTTTTCTTTCTTCCTTCACTGGACACTCTTATTTGATCCACTAAAATATAGAAGAAAGTGGGAAGTGTCAACAAACCCAAAAATTGTTTGAATTTTAACCTACTCATATCAGTTTTAAGGATTCTATATGAGAATTTCTGAAAAATTGGTCTGTTCCACAAGGATGGCAGAGTCAGGAACTGTTTCTCAAAACGTGTATCCAGGCCAGAAGAAAAAAATGCATAACATCAAACTTGGAATTAAATGAGTTGATGTGTTACCTTCAAGACAGAGACCATTGGCTTATCTACTTGTTAAATTACCATTCTTAAGAGAGATTAGAGAACAAGAATCACAGTCCTCCATTTTTAAATAAAGAAATCAAGAATTGGGAGGATTAGAGGGTACTTTATGATGCACCAAAAAGTTTGTTAATTCTCAACAAGGTTTCACTTGATCATGACTGACAATTTTAATCAAGGTTAGTTGTGGTATCTCAACATATTTCTAAAGAGAAATATGCCCACCAAAACTTATAAAAAAATTAATCCAACAAATCAAGAAAGTGTTGGTGCTTTATTTTTTTAATTCAACATGAGATTTGACCTCTGATTACAAAAGGACCAGTGTCAGTCATCATTGTTTTTTCCAATTCATGTATGGTGTATCAAGCCCATCTGGGCACACACCAAACTTCAGCCCAAAAAGGGCCAATGACAAAGCCCGCTTGGCCAATCCCAAAGTGTGCATGGCACCCTCCCAACCCCCGCTTGGCACATGTCAAATTTGGCAGGGGTCAGGACAAAGCCTTGCTTGGCCGAGCCCCAGCAAGGGTGCCACCCCTTCCAGAATGCCAGCCAACGAGAAGGAATCCCTTCCTGATGGCCGGCTCACTGGGGGTCCCCCCCACTCTTATAGGGTCAGACAGGTCATTGAGAGGGAGTTGTATGATCCCTCTCAAAGGCCGGTACACACCTGCACTGAGTCGGGGGACAATGCTGGGTTTGTGCACAGGAGCACCTGAGCCACTAATTGGCCCAGCGGGACTTGGCTATGTGCCCAGTCCTGGGCCCTGACTATTCAGGCCAATCAAGTCCCCTGGGCACACTCCCAAGCCCTTGTGGGACTCGGCCAAGTGGGACTTGTGATTGTGCCCAGATGGGCTTGATACACCATACCTACAAGATCAGTGAATTTTTATTTAAAATGTCAAGAAAAGCTTAAGAAGATGTTATAAGCTATATGATATATAGAGGAGGAGTGGTATCAAGGGTAAATGAACAATGTCCTGAGAGTCTGTACAGGTATGTACCAGTTGATCATCATCATTGTCAGCGCTGGTCTCTTATGTGATCAGGTGTTGATGGGGTTTATGGGTTTCACTATAACTGCAGTGGCAGCCAATGGAAAAGAAACCTCACCTCAACACTAGAAAGCGGGGGGGTTAGCTCCCTGGGTTAGAGGGGACAATGGTGGAGTGAGCATCACCGCACCGAGCTTAGATCAGATCAAAAGAGGCTCTCTTCTAGACTACAGTAGTTACTTAACTGTAGTCTAGAATAGTAGAATAAGGATAAAGATGGAAGGTAAAGAGAAAAGGGAGAGTGTACTGCTAAAACCCCACTCACCAATATTAAGCAAAGTATATGGTTTTGTATGGCAATAAGCTCTGGGGAAGGAATCCTAGAGGAAAAGCCTTCCCCTTGATTATTGCAAGGCAGGGTTCTGCCTTATTGTTACACTCTTCCTTTGGGGGAAGTGTCCAGATATTCAAACATGTAAATGTACATGTGTTGACTATCTCTCTTATTTCAGAAAATAGATAAATATCCAGAAAGAGAGATAAATATGTACAGAGGTAATTCACTATTAATTCAAAGAATAACATCAAATAAATACTTATTAATTTAAAGAATAAATATAATAATATTTATTATCATGTAGCCTGGAGGGGTTACAATCTCATGTAGACACATTGGCTAGTGTCTCAGTGTCTGAAAATCATCATCATCAGTAAACTACAGTCACATGATGCAAGAAAAAAAAAGCAATTTGAAATTCGAGCTGAAATTATAACCATGCAATCAAAAAAAAAAACATTCTCAAGTTGAATAAATTTATAAATCACTAAGTGGAAATCAGAAAAAAAAAGCCACTGAAACTTTGCCTGGCATGAAGTAGAAGTCTATAAACTACCAAGAATCCAGAGGAATCTGGCAGTGCACGGTGTGAATTAAGATGTATGACACCAACATTTATTTCACTGAGTGTTATTTCAAAACGCGCATCCAACACACTTATTTCATAACGGTATATATATATATATATATACATAGGTGGAGTTCTATAACTGGATTGTCAGCTGGAGAATCTTGCATAACCAATTTTCTGTTGTTTTTTTTTCTTCCTGAATGAATCAATTAATTCATTTCTCCTTATTTGTTTCTAAAAAAAAAAGAAGAAGAAGAAGAAGAAGAAGAAGAAGTCAGTTTGTGGATGAAAAGGGAGTATTGATTCCTGAGAACATGAATGCATTAAACATGAGCTGATCCAGACAGGCAATATGACAGCGGAAAACCCTGATAGTTTACAGGAGAGAGGAATGAGCAAGGATGGTCTGAGCTCAGTTTGGGCTGCAGTGGTATATTGCCAGAGGGAGGGGGGGGGGCTACAATGGTCCCTTAATTGTCCTCCATAAGTGGCAGTAATCACTCACAAGGATTGAGGCTTGGTTTTGCAGTCCATAATTAATATCATAAGTAAAAACATGCAAATCTATATCATCAGAATAGGGTTGATAAACCTTAAACCAATCATCACCAAGCAGCTAGACAATCAGCTGCTTATTACCGTGCGTTTTTGGTGTTATAGTGTGACCAGCCAAACACGACTAATTCACTTATGATAATAAATGTGCCCCCCCCCCAAACAAAAAAAATGATTTACAGGATTTTCAAATGATATTTTATGATATATGATCATGATGGACTAGCAAACCGAGCCTTTAGATGATGGGTAGTGGGCTGGACTTGACGTAAGACCAATGTGACCGGTTGATCATCTAAGAGCATCTCCACCGCGGGCCCTATTTGCGGGGCCCTATATGCCTCCAATAGGGACCAAAAAAATTGGATAGCGACTGAGCCGCGTTTTTTTTTCCACCGCTAGCGGGTGTATCGGCTATAGAAGTCGGTGAAAGCCAATTGGTCAAAGCTATAGTGTGCTTGAGGATGTGTGAAACCTTCCGATGTTGGAAGGTTCACACGGGATGGGACCAATGAGCTGGGCCCTATCAAGTCTGTATATATACAGCTCAATAGGGACTTTTGACCCTGGTCCCTATCATAGGGCCCCACATAGGGGCCGCAGTGGCTGTGGTTTTGGGCCTTGTGGTCCCTATATGTGGGATAGGGACCCCATATAGGGCCCGCGGTGGAGATGCTCTAATGATCATTTATTTTGCCTGATCAGTGATGTGAACAAATAGACATATATATATATATGGATGAGGTTGTTGTATGCATATTGGATCCACAAACCTTACTAGATCTTGTTTGGAAAGATTGATTTTTGTGATGGATACATAATTGGGGGTGATGATGATGAGGATAGGATATGTCAGAGATGACACAAAACACTAGAATCAAATAGCCAGCCACCAAAAACAATCCCATGTTCAATTCCCGTGCTCCTTCTTCTTCTCCTTCTCCTCCTCCTCCTTCTCCTTCTCCCTCACTCCCTCCCTCACTGACTCACTCTCTTTCTCTCTCTCTTTTTTTTGATTTTATGTAGTGCAATATCTACCAACAAGAGCAAGAGCAAGAGCAAAAAAAAAAAAATTGCAAAAAAGAAATGAAAAGAATGAGCTTAATCCAATGTCAATTTGCAGAGACAATCAAACAAAAACAAAAAAAAGCAAGAGACTAGTGATCAAGTCTGTCGATCAGTTATATTAAAGCATACAAAAAAAGAAGGATATTGGAGAAATGAGTTAATTCTCTGGATGAATCTAAAAAACAAGGGGGGGGGGTTGTAGGAGTTTATATATACACAAGAAAAAAAAACGACGCGGATGGAGAGCAGAAAGAACAATATCTAAGAATGGGAAAAGAAAAAAAAAAGAATCCAAACCAGGTGTTTTGTTTTGTTTTTGTGTTTTTGTTATGTTTGTGAAGTAAGTAAGTGTGAGTGTAAGTGAATTGGATATGCAGAACAAGAGAAGAAACCGAGCGAGTAGTTAGATACCCAGCCGGATGAATATGAACAAACAGTATATATATATATATATATACCAAGAAAAAAAATAAAGAAAGGGCAATTTGATTCACAATCAATCAAACAAAAAAAAAAAACGAGAATTGAGTTGACAAGATGTAAGGGAGCCAACACTCCGATTTGAAGCAAAGAAGAAGAAGACGGAGAAGGGAGTGACGAGCGAACGACGGGAGAAAGAATTCAGAGGATTTTTTTCATCCACGAGCCGATCCAAGAAGAAGGAGATGATTTCCCGTTCCCATGAAACCCCGAGAGATTTGCAGACCTACCAACCCAGTAAGAAACCCCAGAATAAGTAAACTTAGTCACGAGAAGGAGGTGGGCGGGAGGGGAGGAGGAAAAGAGAAAGACGAACCCGATGAGGACGACGGCAAAGATAACGACGCCAGCGACGACGGTCGAGACGATGTTGAAGTTCCAAAGTTCGGAAGCGGGGGATGCGGAGTGACGCGGATTAGGCTGGGCATGTCTGTGCTTCCCGTTGTGCTGTTGCTGTTGCTGATGATTGAGATGAGCGGGCTTTCTGAGCGAATGTTTGCGGTCCTTTTTAGGACTATTTTTGCGAGCTCTGATCAGACTAGAAGAAGTAGTAGTAGTAGTACTCAAGGTGGTCGTCGTGATCAGACTGAACGGATGACTGGTGGGTGAGGAGGTGTGATGACGATGAGCGGGAACGAGGGTGGTTGACGAGAATGGTCGGTCGAGTGAGCGGGCTAGTTTGTGGTGTCGTTCTCCCTCGTCTTCCGTCGTAGGTGTGCTATCCTGAGCTTCTTCTAGACCTTCTGATGACTCCTTCTTCTTCGCTGGGTTCGGCTCATTAATCTATTATAATATGCGAATTAAGTCAGATTTTTGAAGGGAGGGTGGGAAAAAAAAAGAGGAGGGGGGAGAAAGAGCTTACGAAGCTGGTCACTTTCCGTTTCCGGGTCGT